TTCTACTGAGAGTTTAAAATCAGCTACAGAGACATTAGAACTTCTGTTTATTTCATTTCTACATCAACCTTCTTATATAGCTGAGAGTGGTTTACATTAAAGTTTAAAGAATGTAGCTTCATTAAAGCTAAATTAAATAGATTAATATTGATATAGAACTCATATTAAAGTCATTTACTAGTTTTAAAAGCCAGGTTGAAAAGATGGGTCTTTTGGGCCATTTTCAAGGAGTGTATTCCACAATCTTCTAACCTTCTAAAGATAAATTAGGGATCTTTATTTCAATCAAAATTATATGAGCCACCTTTCTTACCATCACCTGATAAGCAATTAGGCAAGCTGGTCTCTAATGATCTAGCTCCCCAACTGAGTGGTCACACTGATACCCACCTTAAAAGTCAGTAGTAACTCAAGCAGTGAGATGGGCAGAACCTAACAAAAAACTGTTTTGACTTGCAGTGATGGGCCAGCATCTGCAATCATACCTGAGAGTTAAGTAGCCTATACAGTAATGACTTATTCTGATTCCTGTGCATCTACTATTTAGATAGTTATGTCTGATGGCAGGTGTGGCTTTGTGCTGAAAGTTGGTGGATTTTCTCCAGAGCCTCTTTCATGTGGCTCAGATGCCGATGATGACATCAGTGGATCCCAGGTAGATACATCATCAATGTATTTGATGATAAACAGAAGAAATATTACTTTAATTTTACAATTGGTCATGCAAAGAGCCTTTGTAATCTCATTGACCTAAAGGTACAAGCCACTTCCAAATCTGAAATATTTGTGGAAGTGGACAACACGATAAAGACTGGTAGCACATTTTAATATGGAAAATATTTAACTTTGTAGCAGTTGTTTTATTTTATTCAGTTATAATCTTTCTTCCAAGTAGGCAGCAGGATTGATGCAGGCTTTCTAATGTAGTTTCTCAATGTTTGAATTCACAATTCCAAATTTCAGGAAGGGAGAAAATGTCCAGAAAAGAAGTTGAGGCTCCTGGGCTTGAGAGTGCCAGGAAGACCTTTCACTAAGACAGAAAGAAAAAAAAATGTACACAGGGGAAATTAGAAAGCAAAAACTGAGATGACAGCTGCATAAAAGATTTCCAAGGGAATAAATAGGAGCATCTGCATCTTTTCAAAGGGAGGATGTCAACCTCTAGGTGGGAACTTTTTGGTGGATAGAAAATCAGCAAAGAACCTTGGACTCATAATAATAAATTTTGATGGTAAAGTAATATCTTGATTCTTTTAAAGTATGAGGGACTTTTTAATTACGTAGTTTTAGTTCCTTAGGACTGAAATTCTTGAAGAAGGGCAAGCACAATTACCTGCAAAAAGAGAGGTATATTTTTCAATTTTTACTCCGTTTTAAAAAAACTTTTCAATAAAATTCCTTTATCAGGAGCACTATAAAGTAGAGAATATTTGCAAACCTATGTTTTGTATAAACAGGAGATATCATTACAAATTGCTAACTTTTTAAAAACACGTTCTACCCATTTGTCTCATGAAGAAAATTAAAGTTGAGATCAAGCAATTATGGTATGTTTAGCAACTGCTTCAAGTACACAGCGGGCTGAGCTTAACCAGGATCTCTTCTGCCCAGGGAAGAGAAGCTTAATCCTAAGGACTCTGCCAGCATTGCCTCATCTGGACATTTAAGAACAACAACAACTACAACAACAACACTTATTGTCACCTGACGAACTCACAAAGACATAGGATGTATACAAGTGGAACATTTATAAAGGAAAGCGCTCCTGGGGAAGAAAGAGGTGACCACCTTCTGTGACTTGTAGCTTCAATCAGTTCACCACGTCCTTACACTAAAGTAATGTAAATGGAAAAACATTGCTGGAGAGGGAGAGGGGCTAAAAAAGTCAAGATGGCAGATGCGAGTGTGTGATTGAAACCCTGATCCTTTTACCTTCATCTAAAGAGGCAGGGCTTGAATCACATTGTCACAGCCACCAACTTGACTTTTTTGGGCCCCTCCTTTGGTTGATACATAGATATCACTTCATTTGATCCTTAGCCCAAAGCAGAGGGAAGCAGGATGCTCCACCAGCTTTAGAAATATAGGATGGTAACTGTTCCTTCCAAAACACACTCCTTTGTCTTGCTAATTGTTATAGACCAGATGGAGGTAAACTAATTTTTTTTTTTTTTTTTGGATAAAGCAAACATGATTTTTCCATTTTTTATTCAAAAGAATCATGTGCAATAGTTAGACTGAGAGATAGTGGCTGACAAAGGTCAACCATTAAGCTTTATGGGTGAGTTGATTTGAACCTGGGTCTCCTTGGACTGAGTCCAAAATTCTTAATTACTAAACCAGCCTGGCTCTTTAAAGTTGATCTTTAACAAAACTTTCACATAAGTGTGAGGTGGCTGTTAAGTAGCTAAAACCTACTTTGTAGTTTTAATAGCAAATGCCATTTTCTGCCTATGTGAAACAAGTGTTTTAATGGAATTGTAAAATTTTATTAAGCCTGGGTCATAAATGTATATACAACCTGTGATTGGCAGCTGATGTAACAATTGACTGCCCACCTTTGTTCACTAAGATTGCTCAGATCTTCTGACTTACTGGACATAACTTGTTAGTTATGAGATACTGAGCAATTGCATGGTTGTTCAGTAATGCTGACATCATGGCCTGCACTGGACATACTCAGAAACAGCTACAAAGCAATAGCTCCTGCATTTTTGCAGCCATCTGATAATATTTTAGGGAAGAAAACTACCCTCTGAACTGTTGTAGTGCTCAGTAACAGAAATGTTATTCACATAAGCTTTGGAGAAGCTTATGGCAGTGCCCCTCCTGAAGAGATCCAAATGTCTTTGTCAGCTATCACCTGTCTCTACCCTTTTCTTCGGGGGGGAAATTTACTGAGACAATGGTCAGAGACAGCATAGGTTGCTCTTGTCAGGAGCTGGACCTGGTCCCTGGTCCTCTTTACACCTCTTGATGGCTTATGATACCACTGAACACGTTATCCTTTTGGACAGACTGCAAGGTTGGAGATCGGAGGCTTTGCAAGGGTTGGTCCTTTTATCATCTCCTTTCATAGTGGAGAGTTCCAGCTGATGGGAGAGGGGAAGAGAGATCAGCTGGTGACTGCTCTCTTGCGAAGTGTTTGAGGTCTGAGTTGTTTCACTCCTCTCCTGGCAGAAGCTATCCACTGCTTTGGAGTACAGTATCATCAGTATACTGATGTATACCCAGCTGTATAGCTAGCCCAAGCCAGGGATGCCATGGAAATCTTTACCTGATATCTGGAATCTGTTAAGGTCTGGAAGGGATGAAACTGGCTGAAGTTGAAGCCATGTTAGATGGAGTTGCTGTTTGTTTATCAGGTCCTCTGTTCCAGTATTGTCAGTGGGACAGTATTACCTCAGGGGAACAGGCCATGAATATAGCTGGCTAGCCAGGTGGAGGCCATGGCCAGGATGGCCCTTTGCCCAGTTCTGGCTGGTGTGTAGTTGCAGCCCTACCTAGAGCAGAAGCACTTCAAGATGGAGATTCATGCTGTCAGTCATCATTCCCCTGGACTATTGTAATGTGCCCTTTATGAAGCTGCTTCTGAAGACCACCTAGCTGCTACAGTTGGTCCAGAAAGCAGAAGCCCAGGTATACACTGGCACAACCATCTTACACTGGTGCTATGAGTCCTGCAGTGGCTCCCTATAAGCTTCAAAGCATTGACTTTAATTTACAAAGCCCTATATGGTTGGCACCACAGTACCTGCAGGAATGTTTTCTCTAACTGTATTTGACTCACCTGAAAATCTTGGGAGAACTGCTGCTGCTCCCCCATTTTTATGAGGTAAGGGGGAGCTGAGGAAGTGTGACCGGCCCCAGCATTGTTGACTTTCTGTAAGCTTTTAAAAGCAACTATTTTGGAAAACCTTTGAAGAAGATATGAACAGTTTCTTAGATTTGTAGAGAGGACTTTGTTGTTTTTACTGCTTCTGTAATTTGTTCTGTGAAAGTTTTATTATCTGGCAAGACTCTGACTGGGTAGATACAGATTGAACGAGTGATTGATGGATGAAGCCCAAATGTCTCTTTACAGCACACATGGTGGACAAGGAGAGTGAGTGTTGGGTTCGTGCTGCATCTTGGAGGGCTGCCAGCCTTGTAATCTGCTGACCTTTCTTGCTGTCAGAGCAGAACGTTGCTCTTATAAGGCAGAAGGACACACCACAGAGTTGAAAGAAAGTCCTCAAACCTGTCACTGATGTCAGCAACAGTGGTTTGAAGTGGCCAGGGAGAAAGTATCAGAAAATATGTACTGCGATTATTTATAATCCCGTATTTCAGGACAGAGATCCTGACAATAAAAAAAATAACTGGAAGCAGTATGTCACTGGGCCTTCCCACAGGCAGCTGCTGGCCAATGACCCCATGATGGCAGAGCTGCTGGAGCAAGTGCAGAGTGGGGTCCCAGAGGGCAAGGGATGGTAGTGAGCATTGTGGGAACAGAAGTTCTGTTGGAGCAGGTCTTCCTCAGGCATTTATCTCCAAAACATGGAATGCATGCTTCTCAACACACTAAGAATCAGAACCTGGGTTTTTAATGAAAAGTAGCAGTGAAATGAAGAAGGCCTACCAGCAGTACGATTGCTGATTGCTGACCTTAAACTTTGCTTTCAATATCAGTCAAGGTTAGCCACTTTATTTCAGTCATTTAGCAGCAAATCTTAGGAAAAAAAGAGTCACATTTAACTCGCTGAATATCAATGCAGCCTACACAGTACAGAAATTGACTAGAATAAAACAAGCTATAAAATCATATAACAATACAGTAAAACTGTACGTTTAAGAATGTTGGGCATAGAAATTAATATGGTAAAGCATTATGCAATTTGAATAAGGCAATTACTGATTATTTAGAATAATAGAATAGTAAAATTACTGAGCTAAAGTATAGAACCATTATAATGCTAAAATCCATGCAATTAATTAATTAATATTAATATTATATCTAGAGAAAAATGCAGTGATGACTTCCGGGTGGAAATATGGCAGACTAGCACATCTCCATGAAACAGCAGGGATGACACAGAGGCAAAAAACGAGAGCCGGGTTATATGTCTGAGCTAACAGAGCTTCTCCAGACAAGCAGAAGCCATGAGACCCTGAGGGTGACCTGCAAGTAGAGCGCCAAGAGCCACAGAAGAAGACACCATGCTCACAGCCTTGCACAAAGCCTTTTTAAAGGACACTGGGTCTGACCAATCCACTTTCTAAAGCATGTTTAAGTGGAGCAAATTTAAAGCGTAAAGAGACCTTCAGAGCAGCAGAGCACCTAAAGAAGTGTTGTCCAAACTTGGCCACTTTAAGATGAGTGGACTTCAACTCCCAGAATTCCCCA